TCGCCAGTTGGCTCGCGCTGTAAGATAGGTCCGGTCGGCAGGTTACTGCTACGAATAGTAGGCAGCCGAGCTTCTGCTGATACTCCTGGATTTGCTTCGCGGGGAGTTTTGCGGAGGTGTCGTTGTTGTTCCCGTAGCGGTAGGGAGTCGCGACTGTAGTTGGTGTTAGTCCGAATTTCTTCGCGACAACGCCTGCGTATTTTCCAGCATGTAGGTAGAACGCCGAGTTGTCTTCGACGACGTTCAGACCCAGGTACTGGGTTACGGTGTCAGACACCGTGAGTGTCAAGTCCTTTTTTAGCTCCCCTTCGAACCAGGTGGCGATGTCGGTAGTGGAGCCGATGTAGAGCAGGTCGTCGACGTAGACGATGGGTAGGATAAATTCCTTTTCCTTTTATAGTCGGTACATGCCTTGGTCGTGCGGCAGCTGTAGGAATCCGATTCTGACGAGGTATTCGTGAAGATGCGGCTGCCAAAGCCGCGGGGCTTGCTTGATCCCGTAAAGGGATTTTATCAGCTGGCATACTTTTGTGGGGTCGTCGATGAATCCGTGGGGCTGCTCGACGAAGATCTCAGCATCCACAGGTGCGTACAGGAAAGCGTTTGCGACCTCGATCTGGCGTAGTGGTAGTTTCTTCGTGGCCGCGACGGCGAGTAGGATGCGCAAGGAGGTGTGACGGGAGACTGGGGCGAATTTTTCTGTGTAGTCGGTTCTGTATCGTTGATCGAATCCTCGTACGACCCAGCGAGCCTTGAATCGTTCGATGGAGCTGTCCGCATTGGTCTTGATGCGGTACACCCACTTTCCCGAGAGAACGTTCTTCCCGTTGATGTTCGTTGCAGGTATCAGCTTCCATGTATTTCGGTCTTGCAGAGCTTTCAGTTCCTTTTCCATTGCTTCTTTCCATTTCGCCTTGTGTTCCCCCCCCAGAGCCTGCGACAGGGTCGTTGGCTCATGCGGAGACGGCGGCGGCGGATGCTGGACGGAGACCCATAAGCCGAGGATCTGCAGTCCCGTGGGTGTGTGTCGAGGGGAATTTTCATTCCCCAAATAGGCTGCTTCGTCACCATCTTCTGGATCAGGTAAGAAGTTTGGGCCGATGCGTTCTGTGACATTTGTGTCGACCGGGTGAGGTGTAACGTAACCTTGGTCAGCGAAGTGGTAAAGGGTGTCGAGGTTGTTGCTATCGAGAGGACTATCTTCGTCGAGTGGAACAGGCACGGAACAGTAAGGGAGTGGTCCGGCAGCTTCCGAAGCTCCAGGTACGGCTTCTTCGGCTGCGTCAGCTTCGGCAGCACAGTCAGCGAAGGAGCGAAGGCCCGAAAAGCCGTCGGTGGGGTCGTCTGTGTTGGCAACGTTGTCCAGGTAATGCTGCAGCGTCAGTCGTTCGTAGAAGATCACATCACGTGATGCCACGGTATTTTTGTCTTGTATGTCGAGGATTTTCCATGCTTGAAAATGTTTTGCGATGCCGAGGTATAGTCCCCACCGTGCTCGTTGAGTGAAGCGTCCTGCTCGGGCTGTGTGGGATCTGTACTATACCATGCAGCCGAAGACCCGAAGTAATTTTGTGCTGCCCCTTTTTCGTGTCCGCAGCAGGTCCGGTGATGCGTTGTTGGGAAGCGATGATGAGGATAGCAAATTGTGCAGGTGGACTGCATGGGTCATCGCGTCTGGCCACAGTGTGTTGGGCCGTCTCATCCCCAGGAGCAGCTTCCGCATCGTCGTCTGCAAGGTTCGGTTCATTCTCTCTGCGACCCCCTGCTGCTGGTGAGCGTAGGGCAGGGACACTAGGCGTCTGATTCCTCTTTTCTGCCAAGTAGATCCTGAATCGTTGTGACGGTTATTCCAGTGCGCCGTCTGACTGGAAGCTCTTGAGTTTGGTTCCTGATTCTTGTTCAGCGATGGGGAGCCACGTCGTGAAGGCTTCGAAAGCTTGATCGCGTGTCTTGAGGTTGTAGTGCCAGACATATCTTGTTGCTGCATCGATGAACGTGATGACATAGTTGAAGTCGGCTTCAGTGTCGTCTCGAGGCATGTTTAAGATGTCGCTGTAAACTTTTTCCATCGGTGCGTATGCAGGTGCGCTTGGGTTGTGATGTGATGGAAAAGGTTGGCGAGGAAGATTGGCTTCGGGACACGTGAAGCACCGTGCGCGTGGTCGTCGAAGTTCTTGGCCGCTCGTTGTAAGAAGAGCGTTTCTCTCTAACACTTCGGCTTGAATGGTTTGTAGTACCGTGCTGTTTGCAGGATGCCCAAGGCGTTGGTGCCAGATGTCGTCGGGGGCGCGATGGCCGGGCGAGCGTTGGTACATGTCAGCGTTGGAAAAGAACGCGACGACCGTGGCGGGACTTCGGCAGACTTCGCGTGTGATGGGCATAAGTTGATCTGCTTCGGTTGGTGGTCCTCGGATTGCTGGTGATGGTACTCGGCTGGGTCCTGCTGCTGCTACTGCAGATGATGTCTGGGAAGAGACGCTTGCTGGTACTTGTCTTTCTTGTCTGATGACTGCTAACGCTCGTGTTCTTTCTGCTGCAGGTATGGTGTTGGAGTACCAGAATCCATCTGGGGTGAAGTCGGGGTCAAGATCCGGCGGGTGCGTCCAGGCTGCGAACGACACGATGCCATCGCTGTCGGCAGTACCGCGGTCGGGGACGAAATCCAACACGAAGACGCCGGACTTCAGGAGAGCACGACCGATGAAGAGACCGCCCTTCCCGTGGTAAAGACGAAATTCGTTGGAGTCCGGGTCGCATTCCAGGTGAATACCTTTTGCCATTAACTGGCTGACGCTGAGTAAGTTGTATCCCAAGTTGTCAACGATTAGAACTTTGTTTAGTTGTAGTATGACGTTCGTCTCCATTGTCTGAAGCTGAACGACGCCTTGTCTGTTTGTTTTCAGGTTCTCGTTGTTGGCGACAGTGATGATGACATCGCGGTTGAGGCGTCGCTCTCGCTGCACGAAGCGCCTGGAAGAACACATGTGTTGACCGCAGCAGCTATCCAAGAACCAGGTGTTTCGTCCGGTGGGTTCGGCGTTGGCTACTGCAGCGTATGTCGGGTTAACCTGAAGTCCTTGTGAGCGTGGCGGCGGCAGTTCTTCTTCGTCTGGAGCATAAGTGGGTGGTGATCCGGGTGCGCAGCTGTCGATGTGTACCATGCAATTTATGATGTTTGGTGTGCCTTGTGCAGATGAGGATGAACGTCTCGGTGGGCTGTCTTGAGTGGAAGCGACTTGTGGGTCTACTGGACGGTAAGCTCGGGGACATGTGCAGTTGACTTTGGAGTGTCCGGATGTTTGACAGTTGTGGCAGAACGGCGGCACAATGGTGAGTCCTCTGTTGTCGCGTTGATCTTGCTTGCCGCGTCGATTGTAGTTGTTGTCGTTCCTTCGTTGAGTGTAGAAGACTAATTGTTGCTGTTTCCTTGGTTGCCTTTCTTCGAACAGGTCCATCTCCTGTTGTTCAGCATGGAGCTCGGCGCAGAGGTGCATCTCCAAAATTCGTCCGTGGGCACGAAGGAGCGAGCGGGTGGTTCTCCATTCTGGCCCGAGCCCAGCGAGGACAAGCGTCTCGAAGCTTTCTTCAGTGATTGTTCCTCCGCACCGAAGCAGGCGGTCGCGGAGTGTCTGGCATCGACTCATATACTGCATTGCCTTTTCCCCGGTCTTCATCTGTATTGTTGTCAATTGCTGCATGAGTCTGCTTTGTTGCTGTTTGCTTGATAGAGACACTTGAGGTGATGCCATGCGAGTTCCGCGGAGTTTCCTTTGCTCCGATACGTTCTGATGCTTTGCTGTTCTTGTGGTGACAGGTTCCGCAGGAGGACTGTGTACGCTAGCAGCGATTGATACGTAAAAATTTCTTGCTCTTTCGCAGTACCATTGCTTGGAAATGGCAGGGACCCGTTGAAGTATCCCAAGAGATGCACAGCCTCCATCAGCAGCTCGAACTCAAAGCTCCAGGTAAAGAAGTCGTGTCTGTTGAACGGTGAGGATGTCTGCAGTTTGATCACGTGTGAAAACTGCGCCTGGAGACTAAGTATCTCGTTTGGTGTTTGTTGTGATGCAGCTGCTGTTGGTTGGGCACGGGGCGGCATGAACTCGAACGTCCCCGGTGAAGAGTGATAAGGAGCAAAGGTAGGCGCTTGATTGTGTCGCCCGAACGATGAGTTGTCGAAGCTCATCGGCGCTAATCCCATGTTTCCTCCGTTGCTCTGTGTTGAATGCGCAGGTGTCCTTGTCTGCTGCTGCTAGTCGAAGTGTGACATGAAGCTGAAGAACCTTTCCATAAGGTTCGGGTCCACGCTTGAAGAGGGTGATGGGGTCACCATTTCTGGTGCTCTTCTTGTTGTTTCTTGAGCAGCGCCGGTCTCGGTTTGCAGTCCTGAGGTGTGCAGTCCACAGTTGCCGGGTTGAGTGTCTTGGGCACTGGGTGAGCCCGTAGAGGTTTTCTTCCCCTTGCTGTCCATGACTTGTTATCAATGAAGTCGTTGGTGTGCTGATTGTAGATAGGGCGTAGTTGCTGGGAGTTTGGTCTCTGACCAGCTCTCATACCATGTTGGGCTGAGAAAATGCCCTTAGCATCTTTCCAGAGACGAAGTCCCAGTTGTAAAAGGAGATTTTGAGTAGTGCAGCGGAAGTTGAGTAGTTGAACCCTTGTACTAGTATGTGAGAACAAGTGATTGATTAAAGGAAACGAGCATACAACAATATATAGAAATAAGAAAGCAAGCAGTTGTAGAATACAGTTGAAGGGCGGTTATCGAGTCGCACAGCGACTCGATTGTCGCTTCGGTTACCATTCTTGCAGTTGTAACGGTCAGTCGCAATCTCCGGTTGCGACCCTTCGAGTCCTTTCGTGTTCTTTGTCCGCCCCCTCGTGTAACCTCCGTTGACTCGCGTACCCGTTACGATCTTCCTCGAGTGTGGTGTTACACTTCAGAAACGCTAAGTCCTTGAAGTATTTCCAACACGAGTCTTGTGGATTGGTTTGATAACGGGACGCTGAATTACACTTCCAATCACACATTCCATAGGCGTACACCTTAAGTCCCTCGTAACTTATTTGCAACTCCTCATTCAAGACCCACCCCCTAAATTCTCCAGGGTATGATTCAAGACCCTAGGGTCATATATCCGGGGGTTTACAGTATCACTCTTCCTGCCTGCTCTTGGTTTAACAGAATCATCACGACCGGACTTGACACGACCAAACAAATCCACCATAAGAAGCAACCAATCAATAAATCATTCCTCTCACAGCAATGTGAGCAAGCACCACCACATCACAACACACGCAGGACAACAATACGTGTATCATCCTTGCACCCGGCGCCCACCGGCTTCTCAAAATGCTTCCCTCCAACCCTCTATATGCCTCGTCCCAATAACCGCCACCCCCCTCCCACCAGCCCTTCTCCTTGCCAGCACCAGCAGCAGCAGCCATGGCATCAGTAGCAGCCTGCTGCCACTGCAGCAGCTCCACCTCCCTCTCTAGATCCGCCATCCCCGCCCAACCAGTCAGTGCCCTCCTCTGCTGCCCACCTGTCTCTTCAATTCACCTGCCCGCCGGAAGCACCTTCCTGATTTCCGTCCCCACTACCTCCCCCCTCCCCACCAGCCTTTGCCCTTCCCGGCATTAGCTTCAGCCATGGCGTCGCTGGCAGCCTGCTGCTGCTGCAGCAGCTCCACCTCCCTCTCTAGATCCGCCATCCCCGCCAGCCTCTGCCTGTACTCCGCCACTTTACCTGCCAGCCTTCGCTCCTCTCTTACCCCCCTCTCCCCCCAAATCACCGCCCTCCTCCCCACCATCCCTTCCCCTTGCCAGCGCTAGCAGCAGCCATGGCATCAGTAGCAGCCTGCTGCCGTTGCAGCAGCTCCACCTCCCTCTCTAGATCCACCATGCCCGCCAGCCTTCACTCCTCTCGCCTCCCCCCCCCTCCCCCAACAACAATTTACCGCCCCCCTCCCCACCATCCCATCCCCTTGCCAGTGCTAGCAGCAGCCATGGCATCACTGGCAGCCTGCTGCCGCTGCAGCAGCTCCACCTCCCTCTCTAGATCCGCCATCCCCGCCAGCCTTTAATCCTCTCTTCCTCCCCCCCCCTCCTCCCCCCCCCATTTACCGCCCCCCTCCCCACCAGCCTTTCCCCTTGCCAGCACTTGCAGCAGCCATGGCATCACTGGCAGCCTGCTGCCGCTGGAGCAGCTCCACCTCCCTCTCTAGATCCGCCATCCCGGCCAGCCGCTGCCTGTACTCTGCTACTTCCACTTCCAGCCGGAAGCACCGCGCTTGCTCTGCTGCCAGGGTCGTTCTGGCCGTCGTCAGCTCCTGGTGTTTGGTGGACGGCGGGGGAAGGATTTGGGGGAGAGCGGGGGGGAGAACAGGGGGGAGCGGGGGAAGAGTAGGGAGGAATCAGATTCTGGATAGCAGCTCCACCCCCCTCTCTAGGTCCGCCATCCCCGCCAGCCTCTGCCTGAACTCCGCTACTTCCACCTGCAGCCTGAAGCAACGGGCTTGTTCTGCTGCAAGGGTCATTCTGGCCATCGTTAGCTCCTGGTGTTTGGTGGACGGGGGGGGAAGGATTTGGGGGAGAACGGGGGGGAGAACGGGGGGAAGAGGGGGGGGAAGGAGCGGGGGAAGAGTAGGGCGGAATCAGATTCTGGATAGCGGATCCACCTCCCTCTCGAGATCCGCCATCCCCGCCAGCCGCTGCCTGTACTCCGCCACTATCACTTCCAGCCAGAAGCACCGTGCCTGCTCTGCTGCCAGGGTCGTTCTGGCCGTCGTCAGCTCCTGCTTGGGGGGGGGGGGGTTTGGGAGGGTGGGGGAGGGGGTGGGGGGCATGAGGGGGGCAGGGGGGTTGGGGGAGGGTGGGAAAGTGGGTGGGGTTGGGGCGGGGGAGCAGGAAAGTGAGGGGTCCGTGGAAGGGGGGCAATGAGCGTGGGTAGAGAGGGAATTCCCATTCCTCATTCAAATCCAACCTCGTTCCTCGTCCCATCCCACATGCTCCATATCCGCCACGAAATTTCACTGCAGGCTGCAGCACAACCCTTCTGCAGCGTTGCCAGTCCCCCCTTCTGTGAGCCCACCCAGTCTACCCCAGATCTTTTGAGGCGCCTCAAAAGTTGTACCCCAGATCCCACCTCCCCTGTATCCCACCACCCTCCATTCCCATCCCACCTGTTCCATATCGGCCAAGGCATTCTTCAGCGCAGCATAGTCCTTTTGAAGGGTGGCCATTCCCCCGTCCGACCCTGACTTCTTCGCCAGCTCGCCCTCCAGCTCATGCACCTGTGCAGACACGATGGGTCCTCACAGTGGTGAATTCACCATGCATTGAAAGGTGATATAGCAAATGGTGCAGTCAATGCATAGCCTTCTACAGGGTTGCCATTCCCCTGTCTGACCCTGACTGCTTGGCTATCTCGGCCTCTCATGCACCTGTGCAGCCAAGGTGGGCCATGAGACATGGGGAGAGAAAAATAGTAAATTCACAACGGGTACAGTCACAACGAGTACAGTCACCACGGGTACAGTCACAACGCGTACAGTCACAACAGCTACAAGAACAGCATAGCCCGTCCAAAGGGAGACGCCCCCCCTCGTCTCCCCTCCCTTTGAGTCTGCACTCGATCAGGTCCATCCTTCCTTCACTGACCCGCGTCTGCCTGGTCCGCGTCTGCCTTTTCACCACTCAACTGTACTCCGTTCCCACCTTGAGTCTGCACTCGATCAGGTCCGTCCTTCCTTCACTGCCCCGCGTCTGCCGCGGCCGAGGCTGAAGCCGCCTGGGCCACCACCAACCTGGCGTGCCCCTCGGCCCCTCTCCCTCTTTCCATTTCCCTCCCAACTGAATTCTTCTCTCACCTTTATTCTGCACTCGGTCAGGTCCTTCCTGATCTGCCCCGCCTCAGCCTCAGCCTGAGCCGCCACGACCTTGGCCTGCCCTTCTGCCCCTCTCCCTCCTTCCACTCCGCCCCCAACTGAATTCTTCTCTCACCTTTATTCTGCACTCGTTCAAGTCCTTCCTGATTTGCCCCGCCTCAGCCTGAGCACTTGCGGAAGCTGCCTGGGCCGCCACAACCTTGGCCTGCCCCTCCGCCATCTCATCCTCAGCCTGCTGCTTCGCCTTGATGGCCGTCGCCAGATGCTGCTTCAGCAGGTCCACCTCCATCTGCGCCTGTCGAGGAGAAAGGAGGGGTGTGAGGTGGGGTGGGGTGGGGTGGGGTGGGGGTGGGTCAGCCTGTCCCTCGGCCATCTCGTCTTCTGCCTGCTGCTTCGCCCTGATGGCCGATGCCAGCTGCTGCTTCAAGAGGTCCACCTCTATCTGCGCCTGTAGGGAGGTGTGGGCAAGGAAAGGAAAGGAAACCAAAGGAGTGGGAGTGGGAGTGGGAGTGGGAATGGGAGTGGGAGTGGGAGTGGGAGTGGGAGTGGGAGTGAGAGTGGGAGTGGGAGTGGGAGTGGGAGTGGGAGTGGGAGTGGGGGTGGGAGTGGGAGTGGGAGTGGGAGTGGGGGTGGGAGTGGGAGTGGGAGTGGGAGTGGGAGTGGGAGTGGGGGTGGAAGTGGGAGTGGGAGTGGGGGTGGGAGTGGGCATGGGAGTGGGAATGGGAGTAGGAGTGGGAGTGGGGGTGGGAGTGGGAGTGGGGGTGGGAGTGGGAGTGGGAGTGGGAGTGGGAGTGGGAGTGGGAGTGGGAGTGGGGGTGGGAGTGGGAGTGGGAGTGGGAGTGGGGGTGGGAGTGGGAGTGGGAGTGGGAGTGGGAGTGGGAGTGGGAGTGGGGGTGGAAGTGGGAGTGGGAGTGGGGGTGGGAGTGGGCATGGGAGTGGGAATGGGAGTAGGAGTGGGAGTGGGGGTGGGAGTGGGAGTGGGGGTGGGAGTGGGAGTGGGAGTGGGAGTGGGAGTGGGAGTGGGAGTGGGAGTGGGAGTGGGGGTGGGAGTGGGAGTGGGAGTGGGAGTGGGGGTGGGAGTGGGAGTGGGAGTGGGAGTGGGGGTGGAAGTGGGAGTGGGAGTGGGGGTGGGAGTGGGCATGGGAGTGGGAATGGGAGTGGGGGTGGGAGTGGGAGTGGGGGTGGGAGTGGGAGTGGGAGTGGAAGTGGGGGTGGGAGTGGGAGTGGGAGTGGGAGTGGGAGTGGGACTGGGAGTGGGGGTGGGAGTGGGAGTGGGGTTTGGGAGTGGGAGAAGGAGTGGGAGTGGGAGTAGGAATGGGGGTGGGAGTGGGAGTGGGAGTGGGAGAAGGAGTGGGAGTGGGAGTGGGAGTGGGAGGTATGCTTCGCCCAGATGGCCGTCGCCAGCTGCTGCTTCAACAGATCGACCTCCATCTGTGCCTGAGGGACAGAGAGAAGCGAGGGGTACGGAGGGAGGGAGGGAAGTCCAGAGGATCAAGGCACAAAAAAACGGTTTCCGTATTATGCGGTCTGTATACTACGGTCGTTTTTTTTCGGTGATTTTGGGGGGAAAAATGCCGTTTTCTCAAACGAAATCACTTCTGCGGAAAAAAAAAAAAAAAAAAAACCATTTTTTTGAACTCAAACATTACATGGTATTATCCCGATGCCTAAAGCTGTCATGGGATCTACGGATCTCCGACCTGTCGCAACAGAAAAGACGCCACGAGGGCGTCGTGTCCTAAGCTGTAAAACCTACTGTGGATGTGAGCTGCTTCAGGGAATGTTAGAGAGTCGTTTGGTGAGGTGGGGAAGGCAACAGACGTTGACCAGATAGCGCGCTTCGTTTTATGCCACACAGAAACCGTCCCAGCAGATTTGCATACCCCATATACGTCGACATCATATTGGCGAAAAAAAAACGACCGGAAACAAACGATCGTATTTTTTTAACGAGACCTAAAATGGACACTTCAACCCCTTAAATGGCCGAAAACTTCGGTACAGAACAGAACGGGGAAAAAAGGAAACAAACGACATTTTTTTGCGCCTTGCAGAGGATGCATGAGCAAGCAACCACCTTGGGCGCTAATGGGCTGTGAGAGGGCGATTGAGGTCATCTTCTAGAATCTAAAAAATATCTGCCAAAAGGTCACGGTGAACAGAACAGGAAACATTTTCATCCGCGGAAGCGGGGGGGTGGTTAGGGGGGGAGGGAGGATGTGGGAGGGAGGGAGCTTCACTGTACATATTTGCCTTTTATATGTTTACCTTGGCAATAGCGGCCCACGCATCGGCACGTGCCTGGAAAACACAGGGCAGCAAAGAACAAAGCGGCAGAGGAGAAGCAGGGTGGAAAGGGGGGGGGGGAGGAGGGGAGGGGAATGGCGGTGGGTGGGGTGGGATGTCACAGAGAAGCTAGGGGCAATGCAAAACGGGGTCCCCAGACAGGTCGGATGATTTGTTTGTTTGTTTGTTTGTTTTTTTTTTTTTTTTTTTTTTTTTTTTTTTTTCGGAGGACTAGTTAAACCTCGAACTTAAACCCCGGACAAAAAGAAAGGAAAATGAACCCTCAAAACACAGGCTTTCAAAATGGACCGCACTCTTTCAAAACCCAAACCTGGCACCTATTGTGTTGCTCCCCATACCTCTGCTGCTGTTTGACTGGCTTCTGCTCTTGCCTGGAGGGGAGGAGGACGCAAAAGGGGAAGGGAAGACGAGGAAAAGGAGTACAGCAGAAGGGGATGGGAGGAGATGAGAGACGGAGGTGCGTAATGAGTCTGGTTTTTAGTGCCACAACGACTTCTCAGCTTTCAGCGACTTCTCAGCTTTTAGCAACTTCTCAGCAGCGGCGCGTCCCGTGCTGTTGGCAACAACTCGACGTCATCCAACCCAAAAAGACTCACACCACGCAGCACCAACAATAGATGTGCGCAAGCAACCATCCCGCACGAGAAAGAGGGAGGAATGAACCTACATCAAGAGCTACTTTCTCGGCTCTGGTCGTGGCTGCTTCAGCCTCATCCAGTTGAGCCAGCAGAAGCGCATCCCGTGCTGTTGGCGACAACTCAACGTCATCCAACACCACACAGCACAACATTTGATACGCGCATCACTCACATTGAGGGCGACTTTCTCAGCTCTGGTGGCGGCTGCTTCAGCCTCTTCCAGCTGCGCCAGTAGCACCGCGTCCCGTGCTGTTGGCGACAACTCAACGTCATCCAACACAACTGCCCCAGCCGACAGCGACGGCCCGTGACCAGGCACCGGCACAGCAGAACCACCTGGAATTCCACCTGACAGGGTGCCTCCAATGATGTTGGAAGCTGACCCTGCCCGAACCATCTGCTTGCCCCCAGCACTGGCACCGGCAGCACCCGCCCCCATGGTGTGGGGTGCTGTGTCCATTGCGGCAGGAGCTGAAGGCATGGGGCCAAGAGCAGCAGCGGCACCAGAAGGAATGGGTGCTTGAGGGGGCATTGGGGGTAGGGAAGCTTTGGACGGTGCCGGTGTTGGAGCTGCTGCTGCTGCTGCTGCTGCTGCCGTTGCGGCGGTGGTGGTCGCGGCAGGTCGAGAGTTGTTGCTTTCAGATGCTGCTGCTGCTGGTGCTGGTGCTGGTGGTTGTTTGGATGCGTCCTTTGCTGCTGAATCCGAAACGCCAGTAGCAGCAGCAGTGGCTGTAGCAGTCGCGGCTGTAGCGGCAGCTTCCTCCTCCTCCTCTGCTGCTCTGAGCAGGGCAGCAGTGTCCGGAAGCAGCAGGAATACCTCGTTATTGTACCGCCCGTTATAACCACCGAAAGCTATTAGCACAGGGCCCAGGGATGTTCCTACAGGTACCACTGACAAGCCCTGGCGAAAAAGGAGAGGTGGGGGAAGGAAGGGACAAGGGACAAGGGACACAAGGAAGAGACATGAGCACAAGGCCCAGGGAAAGGATGTTTCCACAAGCACCACCAGTGAGAGACCCTGTGGCGGTAGATGGGGAGAAAAGAAGGGAGACTGGAGAGGAGATAATGCGAAGGAGAACGGAGAGTGAAAGGACGGCGAGAGAAAAAACAACAGAGATTCTATGAGTACAGAATGTGCAACACCGTAGAGCCTTTTGTGCATCCTCGAAAAGCCTACACTGAAAAAAAAGTGTAAGGCTTGCAACACCAGCAACAAACGCGCACCCTATTCTTTATACCCACTTTATGAGAATTCTAAAAAAATGAGTTAATTCTTTTAGAAATCTCAAAAATGAGTTAGTTTTTTTAGAATTCTACAAAATCTAACTCAGCCTTGCAGCACCAGCAACAAACGCGCACCCTACTCTTTATACCCACTATACAACCTGCCCCCCCCCCTCGACAATCACTTCAGAAGCCAAGGTTGTATTCTCAAGCGATGTGGTAACCACCGACCAGACCAGTGAGTCTAGGTCCAGCAGCATGGATTCAGACACATTCACTTCCACTATCCCTCTCTATAAATCCCCCCGATAAAGCCCCCCTCTTCACTCACTTCTGAGGCCAGTGGAGTCTTTTCAAGCGATGTGGTAACCACCGACCAGACCAGCGAGTCGAGATCCAGCAGCATGGTTTCGGACACCCCCCCGTGGTTGTCCCCACCTCCCATGATGAACCAGAAGCTCCCAAACGCCACTCCCACCAGGCCAGCCCTTGGGGATGGCACCTTGCCGTACGTCTCTGCATGGGACCACTCAGCCTGGAGGAAAGAGGGGAGGGGTGGGGAGAATGTGGTACAGTTACAGTATGAGATCGTATGCCGTGGTTGTCCCCCCCTCCCATGATGAGCCAGAAGCTCCCGAACGCCACTCCCAGCAGGCCTGCTCTCGGCGATGGGACCTCGCCATACATCTCTCGGCATGGGATCACTCAGCCTGGAGCAAACAGGAAAGCAGGTGTGGCAGGAGCAAGGGGCGAGGCAACGGGGGAGTGCCCCAAGTGGATATGGTTGGTGGTTGTGTTGTAATATATTCTTATATACAACATGCATGACTAGAATAGGAGGTCTAGACATTTAAGTTATTGGGGGGTTGTTGGTTGGGTTCACCAACCACACCTTGGTTGGTCAAGATTGGATTTGGCCTTGGTCCTTTGGTTGGCACTTTCTAGACATGAGCAAAACCGGGTATTACCCGACCCGACCCGGTTTTGCCCTACCCGCGATCGAGTCCGGGTCGGGTCGGGTCGGGTGAGAGAAGTAACATTAGAGAAAAAGTGTTGACTAGAAAGGGAGCCAAGAGGCTCTATAGTACAACCAAGGAGCAAGGAAAGGTTGGAACGGAAGGCATTCCTATTGGCTACAATAGTGGCCAATGGGAGAGGTAGCTTGGAGGGGAAGCAACCCCAAAGTATGGTGGTTGCTGATTGGTGGAGCCTTGGGACCATTCGGTTGGAAAGTGCCAACCAAAGGACCAAGGCCAAGTCCAATCTTGACCAACCAAATTGTGGTTGGTGATCCCAACCAACAACCTCCCAATAACTTAAATGTCTACACCTCCTATTCTACTCATGCATGTTGTATATAATAATATATTACAACATCGGGTAATTTCCGGGTAATGTTTGGAGGTCTGTTACCCGACCCGATATTTTAATACCGGGTAATTGGGTACCCGTCTGGCGGGTCGGGTATACCCGACCCGCATTTAAAAGAAGTCGGGTAATATTACCCGGGTACCCCTAGGTGGCTGAAAAACCCGGAGTAACAAACCCAAAGACGGGTCGGGCACCCGGGACCCGACGCGTAATAAATTACCCGACATTTCGCGTAATTCTCGGGTAACGGGTATGCATTACCCGGCCTGAGTACCCGAACTGACCCGGCCGGGTAATTAGTCAAAATCCTATTACCCGACCCTGCCAAAATGTCGGGTCGGGTCGGGTACAGCGACCCGACCGGGTAAAATGCTCAAGTCTAGCACTTTCCAACCGAATGGTCCCAAGGCTCCACCAATCAGCAACCACCACACTTTGGGGTTGCTTCCCTTTCAAGCTACCTCTCCCATTGGCCACTATTGTAGCCAATAGGAATGCCTTTCCTTCCAACCTTTCCTTGCTCCTTGGTTGTACTATAGAGCCTCTTGGCTCTCTTTCTCTCTTTCTCTTGGTTCATTCTTTTCTCTCCTAAGTTGAGTTCTTTCAGGTTGCTGGCCCCCTCTCCCATGGTGAACAAGAGGCTCCCAAACGCCACTCCCACCACCAGTCCTGCTCCAGGCGATGCGACCTCGCCATATTTATCTGCATGGGACCACTCCGCCTGGAGCGAACAGGAGGGGGAAAGGGTGTTTGTGCAGCAGGCTGATGGCTGGGGTTGACGACCATCCCTTGTACCTCTTTTAGAGTGGTTGGGTAGAGTAGCTGGGTAGCCCTTACTGTGTCTATCTGGGTAGAGCACGTGCACGTTGTTGAAGCACATGGAGTGGGAGGAGGGGCGGACTCAGTTGACCCTTACATACACCACAGCAGGGAGTTGCAACCGCATCTAGAGTGGTTCTTAAAGCATACATAGTGGTGCTGCTTACCGCGTCTAGGTCCAGGACATGCGCGTCACTAAAGCACATGGAGTGAGAATGGGTTTTTTTACAGCGTTTGAGGCAGTCCTCACCGAATCTAGGTCCAGCACGTGCATGTCATTGAAGCACACGGAGTGGGAGTGGGTTTTTTTAACAGCATTTGAGACAGTCCTTACCGCGTCTAGGTCGAGCAGGTGCACGTCGTTGAAGCATACGGAGTGGCATCAGGCTCTAAGGTTGGGAGGGAGTAACCGTAACCACATTCGGGCACAGGCTAGAAAGCCTGACCACATCTAGGTCCAGTCCAGCATGTGCACGGCGTTGAAGCACATGGAGTGGAAAGGGATGACCCAGGTGCTGGGCCTAAGAGACCCAGCTGATACCCCTATACACCATACCGAGCAGCCCTTACCGCGTCCAGGTCCAGCACGTGCACGTCATTGAAGCACACGGAGTGGGAGCCGCCTCCGAAGATGGTGAGGTAGTGCTCGTTGTACACCGTGGCCGTGTGCCCCGCTCTGGGCACCGGTGGGGTTCCCCTGGTGAGGTGAGAGAGAGGAAGCGGGAAGGGGGGGGGGTAGAGTCAGGTCGCAGGGAAGATGGTGCTTGTTATACTCTGTGGCTGTGCTGCGTGCCCTGCTTTTGGCACCGGTCCGGTGGGGTCCCTCTGGCGAGTGAAAGCAGGGTACTGTCAACAGAAGGAATAGGAGGGAGGAGGGGAGGGAAAGAAAGATGGTCAGGTAGTGCTCGCTGTACACTGTTGCTGTGTGCCCCGCGTGAGGAGTCTATTTTTGAGGCGCCTCAAAACTAGACTCCTCGCACTGTTGCTGTGTGCCCCGCTCTGGGCACCGGTGGGGTCATTCTGCAAGACAGTTCACCCATGGGGGACGAGGGGAAGCGATAGAGGAAGGGCAACACAGTGAGTGGTGTGCTAGATGGCGAGGTGGTGCTTGTTGCAGCAGCAGTCACCAGCAGCAGTCACCAGCAGCAGTCACCAGCAGCAGTCACCAGCAGCAGTCACCAGCAGCAGTAACCAGACACAGACTTTTGAGTCGAATCAGAAGTCAACCCATGGGGGAAGAGAGGACAGGAAGAGCAGCACGATGGTGAATAGTGTTCTCACTGCTCATGCACGTGGTTTCCACATGTCTGCCCCCCCCTCTCCCATCTCCCTCCCAGAAAGCAACATTTAGGCGACATAACTTCACATGGCAGCGACTGAAAACGCTTACGTAGAAATATTAGCGTGTTCGCTTGCTTGGCTTTAAAACGATTTCCCGCTTGTTTGACCCACCTCTCCCCTCTCCTTCCACTCCTCCCTCACTCCCTCACTCACGTGGTTTCCACCTTATCCCAGACAAAAGTGGTTGTATCCAGGCTGTAGACGTCGTTCAGCAGGCGCTTCTTGGAGTCCTCCCCGCTTGCCATCCCCCCCCTCTTCCCTTCCCTCCCTTGCTCTCCCCTCACTCCCTCACTCCCTCACTCACGTGGTCTCCAGCTTGTCCCACACAAACGTGGTGAGGTCAAGGCTGTAGACGTCATTCAAAAGGCGCCTCTTGGAGTCCTCCCCGCCGAACACCCACACAGTGGACCCCACCTTGGCTGTGCTGTGCCCGCCCCGGGCGCACTGTAGGCGGTCAACGGGGGTCAACGGGGGTCAACAGGAGAACAGGAGTCAACAAGAGTCAGGGTATAGGCATCGTTCAGCAGGCACCTCTTGGGGTCCTCCCCGCCAAAACACCCACACCGCCGCCCCCACCTTGGCTGTGCTGTGCCCTCCCTGCGTGCACTGCAATGGAAGTGAATGGAAGTGAATGAAAGCCAAGCACAAGTCAAAGGAGACCACTGGGGGAGCAATGGCATTCAAGGGAGGAGAACAACAGCTACAACAGCTACAGTTGTTGGTGCTCACATCCAATGGCCGCACTGCCTGCTACTTCCTGCCCCTCGCTACCACTCCCCATCACTCACACCGCACCCAACTGCTCCCTACCCCTCCCTAACCACTCACGGGTATTTGGCCTCGTGCCTTCATCACCCTCCACGTCTTGGTGCTCACATCCAATGCCCGCACTGCCCAAGGGAAGATCCAGGGGATACATAATAACTCAATATAAAGACAATGAAGTAAAAGCAACGTGGTCAACAAGAAATACGTGGATACAATTCAGCAGCCTCATTCTGACACAAATTTTCAGTTGTACAGTATAGTGTGGTTACAGCAATACTGACTTGCACCCCACGGTCCCTCCCACCCCATAAAGCACCCACCCACCCAGCCCAGGGTTGACCACAACTGGAGGCACACAGAGCAACACATCACGACCGTGGCGCATCTCACCTGTCATATTTTCAGTGCATTTTTTAGGCGCCTGAAAAAACAGACCCCAGTAAAGCACCCACTCACCCACCCAGCCCAGGGTTAACCACAAGTGGAGGCACACAACACAACACAACACAGCACAGCACATCACAGCACTGCACAGCACTGCACAGCACTGCACTGCACTGCACTGCACTGCACTGCACTGCACAGCACAGCACAGCACAGCACAGCACAGCACAGCACAGCACAGCACAGCACAGCACAGCACAGCACAGCACAGCACAGCACAGCACAGCACAGCACAGCACAGCACAGCACAGCACAGCACAGCACAGCACAGCACAGCACAGCACAGCACAGCACAGCAAAACATGACTGCGGCCCGTCTCACCTGTCATCTTCTCGGTGCCATTCTTGAAAAACCCTCCTATGCACAGCAGAGTGACCTCGTCTAGAATGACCTACACGCAGCACGGGGTACAGGAAAGGGGGGAAGTGGGAGGGGGGAGGTGGGGGGGGGGGGGGGGGGGGGGGGGGGATGCGTTAGCAAGAGAGGAGAGTTCCATCTTGGACCAGGAGATTGAGGCGGGGTCCAGCACATGCACACCTACGGGCGCCTCAAGAATCCAGCACATGCACACCTACGGGCGCCTCAAGAATCCAGCACATGCACACCTACGGGCGCCTCAAGAATCCAGCACATGCACGCTCACATGCGGCACACACCACCTGAATGCACCAAAAAAAAAAAAGCCTCTCACCAGGCTGTTCCCAGCGCAGGGGGGAAGCGCGTTGGCAGGGGGGAAGAGAGCTCCATCTTGGACCAGGAGAGAGAGGCGAGGTCCAGCACATGCACATGCACATGCACCACACCTACCCATCCATGCACACACAACAAGCTGCAGCACGCACGTGTACTCACCAGGCTGTGACCTGCACAGGGTGGGAGTGCGTTGGCAGGTGACGAGAGCTCCATCTTGGACCAGGAGAGAGTGGCGAGGTCCAGCACATGCGCGTCGCTGGTGAACCTGGCTCTGTTGCCGCCTACGATGTACATTCGCCCGTCCAGGATCTCTGCCGCATGCTGCACGCATTAGTGAGGGGAGGGGGAGAGGGAACGGGGAGGGAGGGAGAGTGGAGCGGGAGAGACCAGTAGCAAGTGTGAACCTGGCCCTGTCGCCGGCTACGATGTACATTCGCCCGTCCAGAATCTCTGCTGCATGCTGCACGCATTAGTGAGGGGGGAAATGATGGGGTGTTGGGGGGGGGGGGGAGAGGGAAAACAGTAGTCTCTGGGTGAACCTGCCCCTGTTGCTGCCTACGATGTACATTCGCTCGTCCAGGAAGTCTGCAGCATGCTGCACGCACCAGTGAGGGGGGGAGGGGAAGAGGGGAAAGAGTAGGTTCAGCGGAGGGCCAGCCCCTGTCGCTGCCTATGATGTACATTCTCCCATCCAGTAACTTGGCTGCATGCTGCAAGCATTAGTGAGGGGGATTGATTGAGGTCGGGGGAAGTGAGTGCAAACTTAGGTGAACCTAGGATGAGTGTAATTTGAGTCAACTCAAAATACGCCTGCCCCTGTTGCCACCAAGGATGAATGTACTTTGATTCGACTCAAATACACCTGCCCCTGTTGCCACCTAGGATGAACAACATCCTCCTGCTGAGTTACCCTGCACTACACCACACCCATCACCTCCCTCTATTACCGCAACTCCGTTCTCACCTGACTTTTGAGTCGACTCAAAAGACACCTCTGTACCACACCACACCCATCACCTCCCTCTATTACCGCAACTCCGTTCTCACCTGACTTTTGAGTCGACTCAAAAGACACCTCTGTACCACACCACACCCATCACCTCCCTTTATTACCGTAACTCCATTCTCACCTGACTTTTTTGAGTCGACTCAAAAGACACCTCTGTACCACACCACACCCATCACCTCCCTCTATTACCGCAACTTCCTACTCGCCCGGTATCTTGCTGAGGGCTCCTTCCAGTGACGGGTGATAAGAGTCTATTTTTGAGGCGCCTCAAAACTAGCCTCTATTACTGCAACTCCCTGCTCACTTGGTACCTCGCTGAGGGCTTTCCCCCAGTGACGGGCACAGAGACCCACTTGCTGATGCAGTCGCTGCTCCTTTGCACACCCATCACGCCTGAATCCCCCACAACAGCCCCCAGGGGAAGAGGGTCAGGAAGGGGGGATCGGCGTCAGGCCAGCACCGGCTCACCTGGTATCTGGCTGACGGCTTCCTTCCAGTGAAGGGTGCAGAGACCCACTTCTTGACGCAGTCACTGCTCCGTAGCACACACACCCATCACGCCTGTATCCTCCACAGCAGGCCCCACGCAACAAGCACAAGGGGGGGCGGGTTCAGCTCACCTGGTATCTGGCTGAGGGCTTTCTCCCAGTGACGGGCGCAGCGACCCACTTGTTGACGCAGTCACTACTCCGCAGCACTCCCATCACGCCCGTGTCCTCCACAGCGGCCCCTTGGTGGAAGCCAGCTCCGTTCATCGCAGGGTAGCCATCAGGGTAGGTCTGTGGGAAGGCCCCGGATAGTGCTGCCTGCTGTGGGTGGGACGGCGGGGGGAAGAGGGTGAGGGGGGGAGGGGAGAGGGGGGGGGGGGGGAGAGGGGAAGAGGGAGGAAAAGAGACTCATCAAGAACTCGATGTGGGGGGAACAGCAGTGTTCATTGCAGGGTAGCCATCAGGGTAGCCATCAGGGTAGCTCTGTGGGAAGACCCCAAGTGCTGCTGCTGCTGCATGCTGTGGGTGGATGGGGGGTCGAGGGGGGGAGGAATACTGGAATCAGCCAGGCTCCCCAGGAGAATCTTGAGAAGTCGAAGAATTTACCTACAAGGCGGAGTGTGGCATGCTGAGTTCCGAAGCACAAACCGTACTGGTAACCGAGTCAGATCACCCAACCAACGCAGCACAAAACGAAGCGTACTGGGTCAGATGCGTACAACACTAGGCAAAACACAAGGCAAAGCATACATGAGGGAGTGAGATTGCAAGAGCGTACCGGGTCGGATGCTTCCAGTAGTTGAGCATTGGCCCACCAATTCGGGTCCTCCTCCTGCCACAAGGAGAGCGAGAGACAGCAAGAGAGAGGGAGAGGGACACGCACAAGAAACACCAGTGTCACAATCCCTCTGCACCCTAAGTGATAGAAGATATGTTTTGAGACGTCTCAAAACAAATCTTCTATCTTGAGAGACAAGCACAAGAACCATCAGCGTCACAATCCCTCAGCACACTCCTAAGTGATAGAAATTATGTTCGACACGTCTCAAACAGATCTTCTATCTCGAGAGACAAGCACAAGAAACACCAGTGTCAAAACCCCTCTGCACCCTAAGTGGGTCTGGTCTGATGACCCCACATCAAGTTTGAGGCGCCTCAAAACAAAACCCCTCTGCACCCTAAGTGGGTCTGGTCTGATGACCCCACATCACATAACGTACGGTGCCTCACCTCACAGCTCCTACAGGCGACTTGAGAAGAGACGAAGAAAGGCAAATCTTACCTCTAGCACCTGCACGAACAGCCTCATGGCCTCTACTGATTTTTTAGTGGACTCAAGAAGGTGGTTTCTGAGTGGACTAAAAAATCACCTAAGAACGGCAGATCTTACCTCCAGCGCCCGCACGAACAGCCGCATGGCCTCTACTGGCGCCATTTTGCCCAGCTCCGTCCAACTGCCATGGGAATGGAGGGTGGGGGGGAGGCAGGGGGTGGTTCAGAGGAATTGTGGGGCTAATTGGTTTATTCGCCTCTACTGGCGCCAATTAGCCCAGCTCCGTCCAACTGCCATGGGAACAGACGGTGGGGGGGAGGCAGAAGGCGGATCAGAGGAATTGTGGGGCTAATTGGTTTATTCGCCTCTACTGGCGCCAATTAGCCCAGCTCCGTCCAACTGCCATGGGAACCGACGGTGGGGGGGAGGCAGAAGGCGGATCAGAGGAATTGTGGGGTCTATTCTCCTCTACTGGCGCCAATTAGCCCAGCTCCGTCGCAATGGGAATGGAGGGTGGGGGGGAGGCAGGAGGCGGATCAGACGCACTGTGGGGTCTATTCGCCTCTACTGGCAGGCGCCAATCCCCCCCCCCCCCTGTCCAACTTCAGTTACTGCAGTGTGAGGCGAGCGTGGGAAGGCAATGGAGGACCAGCGAGAGCCATGGGGGAGCGATACTGTGGGGTGTGAATCGTGATACTGATACTGATACAGCATCATTCGTCTGGTTCTTGAGAATTCTCAAACACCAACTTGAATCGTGATACAGCATCATTCGTCTGGCTTTTTAGAATTCTCAAAAACCACTTGAATCGTGATACAGCATCATTCGACAGACTGATGGTGTGAGAGTGCTCAATGAGGTGACTTCTGAGGTGACTTTTGAGTCGACTCAAAAGTCGCCTTGTGTGAATCGCGACACTGATACAGCATCATATCATACGACTGACTGATGTGATGGGTGGGAGTGCTCAATTCTCTCAGTAAAACAGCAGGCAGGGATTACGCTCTAAGTCACTTAGACAAGGCATTGCCTCCACTGAGGTGCATGGTCCCTCCTCCATCGCCTCTATCTGCTTCCACTTGCGCCCCTGCAAGCCTCTGCTGTTATCACACCCACTTTGCCATCTCGTTCTAATCGCACCCAAGTGTGCACCCACCTCTGACACTCTCTTATAATCACACCCTCCTCTGCCACCTCGCTATAAAATCACCCACCTCTGCCATTTGGCGAGCTCCACTATGTTCCACGCCCATGGCTTCGGCTTGTTGCATGGGCCGTGTACCGCCTGCAGCACACATGGACAGGGGAGAGGCGCGGGGTAATTCGCGGGGTAATTTGCATATCAACAAGAATGGGTCTGCTTGTAAGGCGCCTCAAAACCACGCCCATGGCTTCGGCTTGTTGCACGGGCCGGGCCGTGTACCGCCTGCAGCACACGTGGAAGGGAGACAGGAGCATGGTGAGTGGTATACCTAACTAGACTAGTTCTGACACCCTCGCTACACAGACGCTAGTGCTGGAGGCTCTTTTTTTTTTAGCGCCTCGAGAATCGATTCCTAGCCCGCCCTACTCGGACGCCGCTTCTGCTGCGGAAAACGCACCTGCTGATAGAGCGAGTAGAGCGCGAGGCACGCACTGCTGCTCTTACACGGGGGGACTTGTTGTTACGGAGGTGGTTTGGATTCACAAACTCCTCGTGTAACGCTTGTGCTGCATGGCATGGTAACACGCAACGCACCTGCTGCTGATAGTGCAAGTAGAGCGCGGCACAGACTTCCCTGCTTACTCAGACTACTGCCCTTCGGACACGCGCATGGGGACACGTTTTTTTAGTCGACTAAAAAATCAAGTAGAGCGCGACACAGACTTCCCTGCTTACTCAAACTACTTCCCTTAGGACACACGCATGGGGACATGTGCATGGGGACACGCGCCTGGGGACATGTGCATGGGGACATGTGCATGGGGACATGTGCATGGGGACATGCGCATGGGGACATGTGCATGGGGACATGTGCATGGGGACACGCGCATGGGGACATGTGCATGGGGACACGCGCATGGGGACATGTGCATGGGGACACGCGCATGGGGACATGTGCATGGGGACATGTGCATGGGGATACGCGCATGGGGACATGCGCATGGGGACATGTGCATGGGGACATGTGCATGGGGACATGTGCATGAGGACATGCGCATGGAGACATGTGCTGGACGGAAACACACCTGCCGCTAAGTCTACTAAACGCACAGGAATCGCACCTGCTGGTACAGCGAGTAGAGCGCTAGGCACGTGAGATCGGAGTACTGCGTGGAGTTGCCCGACCCCTCGGGAATATCCACGGTCCCCGGGATTGCCGCGTACCGAGCCGCGATATAGAACCGATCCGGGTACGGCGGTAGCGCTGCTGTCGGCTGCTTCGACATGCTAGGCGCCTTTTGAGAATTCTCAAAAACCAACTCAAGGGAGTTGCAAGGCCGTCAGTCACTGTGTTAGTGGCTGTAACGGGAGCACGGCTGAGAGGGAGCGATTGTTAACTGGAGTGTGCCAGTGCCTGTAACGAGGGCCGACCACTAGAATCTATCAGGCGAGACAGCTGTAATAATCGCCAGGACAGCTTTAACTAGTAGTCGGTTTTCCGAGCACCAACTGTTTGTACGTCCCTTCCGCAGCATCCGCTCTCTACCACACTCGCGCAATTCGCTTAGTCCAACTCAAGCCTAGGTTGTACGAGACATTAAGCCGAGTCGGCTTAACTTCCGCGCGACCAGAGCAGCACCTCGCCGCAATTCACGCGTGACTGGTGATTTTCTCAACTCGCTACCTTCCTAATCGGTTCGAAAGGCCAAGCCTGGAGCTGCCTGCACATGCGATTAGCCGCATCTGGTGCACCGCATCGCGACCCTGACAGCAGATAATGATCTGCTTCCTCACTAGCCTCTTTTCCCTCGCGGGGCTCGGCAATCTCAAGAGAGCTCTGCTCGGCAATCCCGAGGGAGCTTTGAGCCTTTAGCGCGTTCGTTCTGCCTGGCGTTGTTGCCAGCAGCTGATGGGTTGCCTGTTGCTGGGCTCAGCTCGACTGGTGCAGTTGGTGAGGGGACGGCTCACGGGAGGGGGAGTGCGGTCCTGATGATGTGAATAAACTAGATGAACCAATGTACACTATGGCACCAATACATAGTCATTATGCAAGCAATCAACAAACCTCACGAATTATGGTACCAACACTAGGTGCCAGCGTGACAGGTAGGGCACGACCTAGATTCACTGTAGTTGTTTGGGCCCAAAGGTAGGGGTGAAGGTTTCAACGAGCGCAGTAATTGGGGAAATGCTCCACGACTCGTTGTGCAGAGCCACAAGGTTGTCATCGTCCAACTCATATACAGTGGAACCTGCACTTATGAGACAGGAGAGAAAAGAACACACAAACACACCCACGCGCACACAATGATCGACACCAATACAGTGCACCAGTGGCAATGGCACACTAATGGCAACACATAAAAAATTGCAATCCACTTCCATGCCACAAAACACAGATCTTACCTGTGAATGGCTCAACCCTGGGCTGCCAAGGGAACTTCAGGTACCTGCAGGGATATATGAAAACCAAGGAACAGCAGTAGAATGAAAGCAAGACACCAGGAAGGAGGTGGGGATGTTGTGTGCGTGAGGTGGGGGGGGGGGGGGGGGGGGTTGGGGGGGGAGGGAGGGAAGGGGGGGGGGAAGGTGGGACGAGGATGAGTTTGGGGACTAGAATGCCAAAGAAGCTGCAGAAACGGACAGAAAGAGGCATGAGGCAGAGCTTATCTTCCCTTCCAAGCTTACCCGCCGAGCCGCCACGTGGCGGTGATTGATTTGTCGGAGGTGACTGCGATGGAGAGCAGCTCTTGCTTGGAGTATGCGGGGTCAAAGAGTATGCTCACTGCTGCCAGGTAGCGACCCAGACCCGATGTGTCATTGGTGGGGTCCTTGAACCTGACGTGGAAGTGTTTAAAAGGGGAACACAGATGGAGTAACCGGGGTCGAAGAGAATGCTCACTGCCGCCAGTTAGCGACCCAACCCTGACGTGTCATTGGTGGGGTCTTTGAACCTGACGTGGAAGTGCTTATAAGGGGTACACAGATGGAGTATGCGGGGTCAAAGAGAATGCTCACTGCTACCAGGTAGCGACCCAGACCCGATGTGTCATTGGTCGGATCGTTGAAACTAAAGTGGGAGGAAGGAGAGGGGGGGGGGGGGGAGGGGGAGGGGAGAGAGGGGATGGCATTGGGGGACTTGCGTGCATGGGTAAAGATGGGGTATGTGGGGTCAAATAGAATGTTCACCGCAGCCAGGTAGCACGCCAGACGCGGCGTGTCATTGGTGCAAGGACTATAAGGAGTACAAGACGGATTACTGTGTTTGACAAGGAGCAATACATTGCAGAGAATGGATGCAGGTACGGATCATTTTGAGGGCCCTCAAAACTAGACTTGCATTACGTGAAATTTGAGGTAGGTAGATCATTTTGAGGTTTGTCATATCAACCACGCAAAGGGTTTGAGGCAATGGCGCGTTAAACGCACAGGTTCTATTGCGCGTTAAACACATAGGTTCTAAAACACAAAGATTCCACGCACCTGCAGTCATCTCGAAAGATAGAGGCCGTGAGGTCCCCTGTGACAAAGTATTGCCCCTCGCTAATGTCACGTGCTATGAGATCCTGCCAAATCATTTTCAGGAACAATACAGAAGTGTACTGGTCAGGCGGGCAACGCAGGGGAGAGAGGCGAAAAAAACATGCATTCATCTGCTGATTAAAACCCGCGTGCCAAGTAGTTCAATGGTAGGAAGGTTGGTTGGATAGGAGGACGGGATTGGTTGTCGAGTAGTTCTCTTGGGGAACTCTCAACCAAAGGTAGGAAGCTCGAGGCATTTTTGGGACATTTGGTACGCGGGTTTTAAAGAGGAATTTTATGGAGCCAATGTCATGTACTTAGTCATTAAATGCACGCAATTCTCGACACCCCGGTGAATTCACATTCGTCTCAGTCACACCTTCACTTGCTCGATAGGAAGGCCGCGCTGCTTCCCGTCCCCCGCTACCGCCGCCGCAGCCGCTGCTCCCCCGTCTAGTTCGCCCGCGCATTGCGCCGCGATCACCGCTGAAAGCCCAACTAACGCAGCCCGACGGGTCGTCGAGCCGTAAAATCGCTCTTTCCCAGAAGGTTCGGGAACCGAGTCCGCGTTTCCGGAAGTCGCGGCGCTGGAGGAGCAATCCTCGCTAAGAGACGAACGGGGGACGACTACAAACGAGGCTGGAAAATTCAACGATGTACGTGCTCGCGCCGGAAGAATGGAGGCGGGGATAGATGCGACGCGAGGATTGGAGGAGAGAGCAGGTGGGTGGAGAAGAGCTGGGGAGGCCAGGCGAAGGGCAGCCATGATGAGTGCACGAAGGGTGATGCCAAAACAGGAGCAGCGAGCAGCACTCAAATTCAATCAGCTCGGCAACATCCAGGTCCCTTGGTGTTGGTTCGATTTGAACGCGCTTTAGTGCTGCTGCAAATATATTGGCGGTGTATATGCAACCTTGAGGGAACTGGTGTGGCGTACAGTGGAGAAATTATGTGAAGCATATTTGCTGGATGGAAACTTTTTCACCTCAGCTTGAACACCGCTTTCATGGTTCGTGGTACGTATCTACAAGTAAGGGATATGCGGACAGGATCGCTCAATGAGCCAGATTCGTTATATGCAGCTTCTGTTGAAGTACAAGTTGTAGCACCGTGAAGATAATCTGCGAGGGCAAGAAAGGAGAGACAAAAGATAGGGAAACACGTTCTGAAAGGGCAATCTCATAGTTTTGTCAGCAAAATCATCGTGCAGTGGCACGATGATGTAGTCACAAAGAGACTCAACAACATCATGCCTTGACATACTGCCATGACATGACCTGCCATGACATGACCTGCCATGACATGCCATACTACCATGCCATCTTTCCACTTGATATGCCATGTCAGCATCTGCCAACCACCCATCCTCGCAACCACCCACCTCACCTGTGTACGCTTCGTCCTTAAACACCAGCAGGCTCCGAGGAGGCACAGCAGCGCACTCCCTCCTCACTACTACTACAGGCGTCTCTAGAGTAGCCTCAGAATGAGGAGCAGCAACACACTCCCTCATCATCACGCCACCGCCACCGCCATCAGAGCACCGCTCCCCTGCCTCTGCTCCCCCCACTTCCTCCTTCCCATCCCCTCCGCTGTCAGAGTCGGCGCAGGGGATGGCAGCACCTTTGCTGGCAGCTCCTGCTCTTTCGCTCCCCTCTCCGTGTTGCTGTGCCAGCCTTTGGTGCGGAGTGAATGCCATGGTTGCAGGCAGGCCAAGAGAGAGAATGGCGACACAGGGGAAGTAGGCTGGGCCGTCCTGGTGAGGCTGAGGTAGGGGGGACGAGCAGGTAGACGAAAGAAAGAGGGGGAGGTAAGGAGGACTTGGTTGCAGGGAGGCCGAGAGACAGTATGGCAGCGCAGGGGAAGTAGGCTGGGCCGTCCTGGTGGGGCTGAGAGACAGGAGGTCGGACAGGGAGGGGGGAACAGGGGAAAGGGTCTAGGGCGCTTCTAAGGAGCCTCAAACTGGCCGTCGTTGCAGGGAGGCTGAGAGACAGTATGGTGCCACGAGGAAAGTAAGCCGGATCGCCCCTGTGGCTGAGGGAAGTGGGGGGCTGAGTGAGGGAGGGGAGAAGGAGGGGAGAGGGAAGGGAGAGGGGGTAGACGAAAGAAAAGAGGGGGAAAATGAGTGAGTGAGTGAGACAGGGAAAAAGGGAGGCGCTGCAAGGGAGGAAGGCTGGTGATCAAATTCGTGGCTTACCATGATCCCCTGCCCCTCCTTGTACTCATTCACCAGCACGTGGTTGACGGGGGAGGGGAAGAGACTGCTGAGATCAGATGATATGCGAGATGTGAAGTGCTGCAGCCACGCAGGTACTGATTGGAGGGAAAAGGAGGGCAGATGGAAATGTAAAATTTACGTTCTGTCTTGTGAAGGTTGAGGCTAGTTAAATGAGGATGTAAGGTGTCAAATGCTGCAGCCACGATGGTATTAACTGGGACAATACTTGACAACATGGAGAAAATGAGTGGATGTGTCACGGTTGAGCGTAGTTTAGAAATATCATATTGTCATCATATTGTCATCATATTGCTGTCATCATATTGTCATCATATTGTCATCATACTGTCATCATATTGTCATCACATTGTCATCATATTGTCATCATATTGTCATCATATTGTCATCACATTATCATCATATTGTCACACACGAAGGTTCCCCGAATTACACTCACACGGTTGCGCTATGAGCCCCTTATCATGCACCACGCCGCCTGCAGCAAACACAAGGAGACAGAGGGGGGATGGGAGATGCGCAAAACAAGGAGCGGTAGGGTCATGTGGGTGGTAGCATTGCATAAGCACTTGCTTTTGAGTCGGGTCAAGAGCAGACTCATAACACACGGTTTTGGCAATATACTTGTTAGTGTTTTTGAGACTCCTCAAAAACATCCTGCAGTCAGCTTGGCGGATCAGGATGCGAGATGCACAAACAAGGAGCAGTACGATCATGTGGTTGGTAGAGCATTGCACAAGCATCGCACAAGAATGTGCGTGCAAGCACCTGTCACCACGATCGTATTGGACCCTGCCCATGCACCCAACCGCTCCTTCTTGATCGGGTTGGTAGAGCATCGCACAAGAATGTGCGTGCAAGCAAGCACCAGTCACCACGATCATATTGGACCCTGAAAATCCACCCAACGGGTGCCACGGTGCCACCTATCCCTCCACGCACCCAACACATGCCACTCATCCCAGCTCTGCAATTTCCTAGCAGCTGCCTACGCCACCTTCCAGCACTCACCCCCATTCAATGCCACTCGTCCATGCCTCCTGAGCGCTCTGAGTGCCCATGCCACTCCTGCCAGTGACGCCTTCCACGAGGAGCCCTAGCCCATCCCCATGCACCCCTGGCCACACATCCATCCGCATGTCCTCATCCCCTTGCACCCACCCCATCCCACTCACCCCATCCCACTCACCCCAGTTTTGCAATCTCCTGCCAGTCACGTTCTTCCACTTGGTGATTGGGGCTGACGCCACCTGGATGGCCGGGATGACGTGGCGGGATGCTGGCATGAGGTGTCAGTTAGCAATAATGAAAGATAGGAAGGAGGGTGAAGTGAAGAAGAAAAAAATCACTCACCTGTGACATCAGCAACTGCTCCTCCTGCACTGTAAGGTAATCCGGGACCACGTATACCGAGGACACACGACCAACGCGAAACGGCTCCAAGCCTCGGCACCGAAGCTGTTGCCGAACCAGCTCTGGCTGCTGATTCGGCGTCGGCGGATCCGGTGTCTCATTTGAACGTAACGGAATGGAGGGAGGAGATTCAGCCATCATTTCCAACTAGCATTCTGATTCGGACCTAAAGCGTCGACCAAGCAAACGCAGAAATCTAAAGCTCTCTGGCGACTAATGGCGACTAATTGCTGGAGGTTTGGCGCGATGAATCCAGAATGGTGGGAGATAGAACGGCTGGTTCTAGGTTAACACCCAAATATTCGTTGAAAACCCACCTGATAGAATCGGATTTTTGGGCCAAGTTTGAATGTGGGTTTCTCAGGCAGCGGACTGTGTAGCTTTATAATCCCTGCGCCAGGTAAAAACCGTCGACGGAACTGCCATATTAACGAATACTTAATGTAGTAGCTCTTCTGTTCACCCCTGGGTTCCTGAATCCTCTGGTGTAAGCGGTATGAAACAACGTTCGATAATGTGACAGAAGAGAATGCACTTTGTTCGATATTAGCACAGTAATCATCACTTTTATACTGTAATCACCCTCTTCTTTTGTAATGCCCAACATGTTTCCTTCATGTGGCCTATGGAAAATAGTGAGAACAATATGTGTCATCCACTAAAGAGGGAAACACAATGTGGCACCAAAATTTAGTAGTCTTGGAACACGAGTGCAACCGCCATTGTGGAAAGAGCCACTTTTTTGTGGCATTCGGGGTTCCCCTCGGGTACATAGCGGGCTACAAAGTCGGCTTGAACACTGTGAATCGAACTTGGCGTACAGTGTAAGTCCTACACAAGCCTCAATATAAGGCTGCATAGATACAAGCATCTGTCTTCGGAGCAACGCCCACCATGTCAAGCCACACAAGGGGGGGCACCCAGAAGTAAGGGCTCCACTCCCACCTAGGCGGCTTGAGCGACATGAGGAGTGCCTCGTTATAAGCTTGTACAGTTATAAGCACGTCTTTCAGTCTTGGAACATGAGTGCAACGCCCACCATAGTAAGCCATACCGTAAGAGCCACCCAGAAGTAAGGGCTCTTCTCCCATCTCGGCGGCTTGAACGACATGAGATCATCCATGTAATCTCTAGAGCCTGACCCTTTCAGCTTCCTGATCTTCTTTGGCTTCCTGTCTCTCACCATCTGACTCCACGTGCGCCCAGAGCTGGGGATGGGGTAAGAAGGTGGGGGAGAGGAGGGAGGGGAGAAGATGGTTTAAGGGTCGAAAGGCTCGAACGACATAGGTGACTTTTGAGTCGACTCAAAAGATCATCCATGCAGTCCCTTGCCCCAGAACCTTTCAGCTTCCTGATCTTCTTCGGCTTTCTGTCTCTCACCATCTAATTCCAAGTGCGCCCAGAGCTGAGAGGGGGCGGGAGGGGGTTGTGTGGGGAGGAGGCAGCGATGGGTGGGGAGATAGGAGAAGTGGGAGAGAAGGTGTTTGGGCAGTGCATGTGAGGCACACCGACAGAGGCGGCAAGAACAGTGACATCATCCATGTAGTCCCTTGATCCAAGTGCGCCCAGAGCTGGGGATGGGGTAAGAAGCTGGGGGAAGGGGAGGGAGGGGGGAAGATGGTTCAAGGGTCGAAGGCTTGAACAACGAGAGATCATCCATGTCGACCCTTGATCCGGATTCTTTCAGTTTCTGACTTCGCTCCGGCTTTCTGTCTCTCACAATGTGACTCCACATGCGCCCGGCGCTGTGGGGGAGGAGGGGGAGGAGGAGGGAGGGAGGAGAGGGGGGGAGGAGAGGGGCGGAGAACGGGAGGGAGAGGGGGGAGGGGGGGGAATAGGCGTAGAAGAGAATGGAAGGGGGAAAAAGGAAGGGGGGGAAAGGAGAGAGGGTGTGGATGCCACCCGAGGGCAAGCCGCCCAAGGGCATGCCGCCCGAGGGCAAGCCGTCCGAGGACATGCTGCCCGAGGGGATACCGCTCGAGGGCAAGCCGCCCGAGGGGATGCCGCCGGAGCGCATGCTGTCCGAGAGCATGCAGCCAGAGGGGATGCCGCCCGAGGGCATACCGCCGAGAGAATGCCGCCCGAGGGGATGCCGCCCGAGAGAATGCCACCCGAGGGCATGCCACCCGAGCGCATGCGGCCCGAGAGCATGCCGCCCGAGGGGATGCCGCCCGATGGGATGCCGCCCGAGGGGATGCCGCCCAAGGGGATGCCGCCTGAGAGCATGCCACCCGAGGGGATGCCGGCGGAGGGGATGCCGCCCGAGCGCAAGCTGCTTGAGGGCATGCCGCCCGAGGGGATGCTGCCTGAGGGGATGCCGCCCGAGAGCATGGCGCCCGAGGGGCTGCCGCCTGAGAGCATGGCGCCCGAGGGGCTGCCGCCCAAGCGCATGCCGCCCGAGAGCATGCCGCCAGATGGGATGCCGCCTGAGGGGATGCCGCCCGAGGGGATGCCGTCCGAGAGCATGCCGCCCGAGGGGATGCCGTCCGAGGGGATGCTGCCCGAGGGGATGCTGCCCGAGGGAATGCCGCCTGAGGGGATGCCGCCCAAGGACAAGCCGCCCGAGCGCATGCCGCCCAAGAGCATGCCGCCCGAGGGCATGCCGCCCGAGGGGATGACGCCAGAGGGTAAGCCGCCCGAGGTCATGCCGGCCGAGGGGATGCCGTACGAGGGCATGCCGCCCGAGAGCATGCTGCCCGAGAGCATGCCGCCCGAGAGCATGCCGCCCGAAAGGATGCCGCCCGAGAGCATGCCGCCCGAGGGCTTGCTGCCTGAGCGCATGCCGCCCGGGGGGATGCCGCCCGAGAGGATGCCGCCCGAGGGCAAGCCGCCCGAGGGCATGCCGCCCGAGAGCATGCTGCCCGAGAGCATGCCGCCCGAGAGCATGCCGCCCGAGGGGATGCCGCCCAAGGGCATGCCGTCCGAGTGCATGCCGCCCAAGAGCATGCCGCCCGAGGGGATGCTGCCGGAGGGTAAGCAGCCCGAGGTCATGCCGGCCGAGGGGATGCCGTACGAGGGCATGCCGCCCGAGAGCATGCTGCCCGAAAGCATGCCGCCCAAGAGCATGCCGCCCGAAAGGATGCCGCCCGAGGGCATGCCGCCTGAGCGCATGCCGCCCGGGGGGATGCCGCCCAAGGGGATGCCACCGGAGGGCAAGCCGCCCGAGGGCATGCCGCCCGAGAGCATGCTGCCCGAGAGCATGCCGCTCGAGAGCATGCCGCCCGAGGGGATGCCGCCCGAGGGCATCCTGCCGCCCGAATGCATGCTGCCCAAGAGCATGCCGCCCAAGGGCATGCCGCCCGAGGGGATGCCGCCCGAGGGGATGCCGCCCGACCGAGGGCATGCCACCTAAGGGCTAGCTGCCCGAGGGCATGCCGCCCGGGGGGATGCCGCCCGAGGGGATGCCGCCCGAGGGGATGCCGCCGAGGGCATGCTGCCCGAGAGCATGCCACCCGAGAGCATGCCGCCCGAGGGGATGCCGCCCGAGGGGATGCCGCCTGAGGGCATGCAGCCGCCCGAGCGCATGATGCCCGAGAGCATGCCGCCCGAGGAGATGCCGCCCGAGGAGATGCGCCTGAGGAGATGCCGCCCGAGGGGATGCCGCCCGACCGAGGGCATGCCACCTAAGGGCTAGCCGCCCGAGAGCATGCCGCCCGAGGACACGGGGGTGCAAAAGGCTTGAAAGGCATCAGATCGGCAATGCTGCAGATGCCCTTGTTTAGCATGTGCACTGTCAAAGATATCCTCCGAAGACAGCCTCAGCTTGGGCGACTGAGCAATGTACCGCATGTCGGCAGCCTGCTTGCTGCCCTTCCAGCCACCACCAACTATTCCTCTCAAACCCACCCTGTGGTTGTATGGCTCACCTGTTGTTGTCCTTGTCTAGAATGGGCACTTTCAATATCTCGTCAGGAGACAGCTTCAGCTTGGGCGCCTCTGCAATGTACCGCATGTCGGCTGCCTGCTTGCGGATGGCTGGCATGGGGTGGTTGTTCTCTAGTTTTCGGTAGAGCGCCAGACACTCGGGCCTTTGCCCGTTGGCATCGTAGGACATTGCGAGCCACAGCTGGATCTGATGGGGGGTAGGGAGGAGGGAGGAGGGAGGAGGAAGGGGAGGGGTGGTTGTTCTCTAGTTTCTGGTAGAGCGCCAGACATTCTGGTCTCTGCCTGTTGGCGTCTTAAGACATGGCTAGCAATAGCTGGATCTGGTGAGAAAAAGGGGAGGTATGTAAGAAAGAGGGGGGCATGTAAGAAAGAGGGGGGCATGTAAGAAAGAGGGGGGCATGTAAGAAAGAGGGGGGCATGTAAGAAAGAGGGGGGCATGTAAGAAAGAGGGGGGCATGTAAGAAAGAGGGGGGCATGTAAGAAAGAGGGGGGCATGTAAGAAAGAGGGGGGCATGTAAGAAAGAGGGGGGCATGTAAGAAAGAGGGGGGCATGTAAGAAAGAGGGGGGCATGTAAGAAAGAGGGGGGCATGTAAGAAAGAGGGGGGCATGTAAGAAAGAGGGGGGCATGTAAGAAAGAGGGGGGCATGTAAGAAAGAGGGGGGCATGTAAGAAAGAGGGGGGCATGTAAGAAAGAGGGGGCATGTAAGAAAGAGGGGGGCATGTAAGAAAGAGGGGGGCATGTAAGAAAGAGGGGGGCATGTAAGAAAGAGGGGGGCATGTAAGAAAGAGGGGGGCATGTAAGAAAGAGGGAGGCATGTAAGAAAGAGGGGGGCATGTAAGAAAGAGGGAGGTATGTAAGAAAGAGGGGGGCATGTAAGGAATGCTTGCGGATGGCTGGCATGGGGTGGTTGTTCTCCAGCTTGCGGTAGACCGCCAGACACTCCAGTCTCTGCCCGTTGGCGTCATTAGACATGGCCAGCCACAGCAGGATCTGATGGGGGGAGGTGGGTGAGGGCGGGGGGAAGAGGAGGGGAGAATGCATGTCAGCTGCCTGCTTGTGGATCGCCGGCATGGGGTGGTTGTTCTCCAGCTTGCGGTAAAGAGCCAGACACTCGGGCCTTTGGCCATTGGCGTCATAAGACATGGCCAGCCACAGCTGGATCTGATGGGGGGAGGTGGGTAGAAGGGAGGGCAGGGGAGGACTGAGGCTTGGTATGGCTGGCATGGGGTGGTTGTTCTCGAGCTTCTTCTGGTAGAGTGCCAGACACTCCCGTCTCTGCCCGTTGGCGTCATAAGACATTGCGAGCCATAGCTGGATCTGGTGAGGGGTAGGGAGGAGGGCGGAGGGAGGAAGGAGGAGGGAGGGGAGGGGTAGGAGGGGGAGAATGCTTGCGGATGGCTGGCATGGCATGGGGTGGTTGCTCTCCAGCTTGTGGTAGAGAGCCAGTCACGTGGGAGGTCGACCCTGGGGAGGTGGAACCCAGGGAGGTAGAATCTGTGCACGCATCCACTCAGGACCTGCCTCCCCTCCCAGCTTCGACGCGAACTCCATGTTCCCATGTGAACTCCCAGCGCCTGTTACACGATCACCACGCCACGCTCTTGTCCCTGTCAAGGGCGACTCATACTCCAATGTGGGCGGTTAAAAAGGATTGCAGCCCTCACCTCCTCTCCCAGCTTCGCCGTGAACTCCATGTTCCCCAGCACTTGTTACACGATCACCACGCTCTTGACGCATTCAGGTCAGGGGCGTCGCTTAGTACCATGTGCGCATTCCGGTGCGCTTAGTACCATGTGCGCATTCCGGTGCGCATAGTACCATGTGCGCATTCCGGTGCGCATAGTACCATGTGCGCATTCCGGTGCGCATAGTACCATGTGCGCTGCCAAAGGTGATGTTTTAGTCGACTCAAAATCCCGATCGCCATGCTCTTGACGCATTCAGGTCAACTGCGTTGCACCTCGCCGTTGCACCTCGCCATGGCACCTCGCCGTTGCACCTCGCCATGGCACCTCGCCGTTGCACCTCGCCGTCGCACAGTACCGTGTGCGCCGGAAGAGGGAAGCTCAACGCACCTCGCCTCCGAGCTTCGACGTGAACCCCACGTCACTCAGCACCTGCTCCAGGATCGCCACGCTCTTGTCGCTTTCAGGTCAGGGGCAACTCAGACTCCAATGAGGGCAGTTAAAAAGGTTGTGGCCCTCACCTCGCCTCCGAGCTTCGACGTGAGCCTCACGTTACTCAGCGCCTGCTCCAGGATCGCCACCCTCTTGCCGGTTCTGAGACGACTAACAGTACAATGTGGGGTGCACAAGTTCAGTTAGTGACTGCTTTTGAGTCGACTCAAAACCGCGTGTAATGAGTCTGCTTTTGAGTCGACTCAAAAGCAGACGACTAACAGTACAATGTGGGGTGCACAAGTTCAGTTGGTGAGCCTCACCTCGCCTCCGAGCTTCGACGTGAACCCCACGTCACTCAGCGCCTGCTCCAGGATCGCCACGCTCTTCTGGCATTCAAGGGCGTCTGTCTCAGACTCCATTGTAGGCGGTTCAGAGGATAGTAGCCCTCACCTCGCCTCCGAGTTTCGACGTGAACTCCACGTTTCCCAGGGCCTGCTCCAGGATCGCCACGCTCTTGTCATACACGCCCCGCCCGTACGCCTGCTGCCCGAACGCAAACAGCTGCTGCGCCTCCTGCCGCCGCTCCGCCTGCTCCTGCGCCCGCTTCGCCAGCAGCTCGCGCAGCCTCGCCGCCTTCTGCTCGGCGCGCTGCTCCGCAGTCAACCCGTCCTCCCCTATCCCTGTTGCTGCTCCTGCTGCGCCTCCTGCTGCTGCTGCTCCTCCTTCTCCTCCTCCTGCCGTTGCAGCAGCAGCCGCTGCTCGTCTCATATCCTCTTCTGCTTCATCAAGCTCTTTCTCCAGAGCCTTCCTCTCCCTAAGTATGGCTTTAAGCTCCTCGATCTCGTCCATCTTCTGCTGACCCTCCTCGCCTTCCCAGAAGCTAATCTCCTCCTCATCATCCTCGTCGGCCGACTCCCGGTTCCCGCGCGAATCTCGCGGATTCGCTTGAGCAGCCACGTGGCGCGATCCTGTCGCTCCTCGACCTTCTCGAAGTCGTGAATGAGATAGCCGAGTTACATGCTTTCTTCTTCTAGGAGGATTTGAAAAGGTGGCGAAGGGTGCAGCGCGGAGTCCTCGATCTGAAGCGGGAATCGAAGAAGATTGCAGCGAGGATAGAGGACTCGGCTTTGCAGAATGATGCGAGAATGATGAGACATTAGCCATGGCGCAGGGAAGCATCATAACGCGGACAAATTTCGAATATATTACTAAGCACGTTGACAGAACGACCAGGAAGGCTCAGGCTCCAAGAACTACGAGCCTTGCGTGAACGAATCGCATTCTACGAGTCGTCCTCAAAATCAACGAGCTTGCATTTGCGCGGGTACCTCAGCACGCCGTGCCGCTGTGACTCATGCCAAAGGCTGGAAACTATCGGCTGTGACTCGTGCACTAAGCATATTGAGTCGGTGTGGTAATGACAGGACGGTGCACTACAGTTCTAGCATGGTGGACCAGGACAGGATGCAGGAACTACTCCTATGGACTAGTTCAGGCCTCAACTATTTCGTAGGCCTTGTGACCAGAACCAGGGTCCAGCATTTCGCGCCAATTTCTGTGGCCTCAGAACGTCGAGTGGCCGCCACGTGGTCATTTCGCTGTATCCGCAAGGGAAAAAATTCGAGAAAGGTACAAGAGTGATTATTATCACCACATTCTTACAAAGACTAACTAGATGAAGAATTGTGGTAGTCGTAAATACATATTTGACGGAATTCTGTGTGTTTTAAAACCCTCGGCCCAAATTGCGAGGCGCGGCCTTCAAATGCACTGCGTTTAAAAGTAGCGCTTTCGTGGGTGTAGAGTGGGGTAACGCGAGTCTCGCCACTTTGGGGGTGCCTTTCAAGTTCACTGCGCACTGCAACTTGAAACTCCATATGTAGCACGTTATTAGACCGTCCATTTTTCACAGATCTGCATCTGACGGTCTGGACGCAAACTTTTCTTTCCAAAGCACCACAAGTATTTCGGGCTCAAATCTCAAGCGTCCAAAATCTTCTCAGTGTAGCGACATGGATAGAAACAACAGTACATAGTACTTTTGCCTAGTGGGTTGTACTCTCTAAAGGCCTATACTAACATATTGCATATATGTTTGACACACACCCTAGGCTAGACAAGGGGTAGTGCGGGGCAAGAGGCACGAAACTCAGGGTGGCACTACTAGTCCAACCTCTGAGGCAAAGGTCCGAAGACCAGTCAGGAGAGTACAAACAAGACGAGCACACCAGGGCGGCACTACTAGTCCTGCCACTGGAGTAGAGGCCACAAGGCCAGTCAGGAGAGAATAATAAGAGTTGTACACAATCAAGGCCCTAGCAAGTGTGAAGCTACAGGAACTAAACCTAGCTGTACACAGTGCCGCTGATGATTTTTAGGCGCAAGTGCCTTAGTAAAGATATCAGCTGTATTGGCACCGGAGGCCAAGTGAACTACACAAGCCTGACGGCGCTGCTGTAGCTCGCGCAGGAGGAAGTACCACACCTGGATCTGCCTCGCTCTGCCCTCAAGTCGAGGCTTTTGACACAGGAGGATCATGGCCCAGTTGTTAGCAAACAGAACCGGGGAAGAGCTAGGCCGCTCACCTAAGTCAGTGAGCAAGAAGGTCAGCCAGCGGAGCTCATGTGCCGCCATGGCACCAGCGTAGATCTCAGCCTCACGGTTAGACTGTGCAACAGACGACGAGCGGGTGGACCTTCATGAGATGGCCCCTGCACTAAGGCTAAAGCAGTAGCCCTAGGACAACCTGAGTGTCTCAGCGTCGTCCACCTACGAAGTGTCTGTGTGCCCTATTAGGACCACTGGTCTGCGTCCTTCTAGCAGTAACCCCATGCCCGATGTACTTGCTAAATAAAGCAAAACCCTCTTAGCGGCCGACTAGTGATGTGGTCGGTGTCGACATGTGGCCACAAAGCGAGCCAAGATGCTGAGAGGGTATGCGAGATCTGGATGACTGCAAAACATCATGTACTAGACGCAACCCACCAGCTCTATGTAAGGACCACTAGGCTCTATAGACTCCTCAGGGACTGGAGAGCCCGTGATCTACTGGCAGAGGCGTGGGCTGTGCAGAAGAGAACTGAAGGCTGAACCTCCGAAGGACCTGGCGCACCAAGTGTAACAGTGTAAGAGTGATGGTGCGCGCTGCTCTGTCCCTCGAGATCTGCAGGCCAAGGTAGCGGCGCAACTTTCCGAGGTAAGTGCAGGTGTGTCTTCTCAGCAGCTCAGCCTTCACGGAGGCCAGTGCGTCTCTGTCTGCAGTAGCGAAGGCCAGGTCATCTACGTAGACAAGGATATAGAACGGGGTCTGTCCAGAATGAACGAAGAGCGAGGGGTCTGCAGATGACGGGAAGAACTGCAGGTTAGCTAAGGTAGCATGCAGCGTCTCGTGCCACTCACAGGGCGCCTGCTGCAGGCCATAAACCGGGCGTCGAAGCAGCCACTCGCACCTGACTGCGCACATGGTACCGTGCTTACCTGAATGCCATGGCAGGTAGACCTGCTCGTGCAGACTGCCCTAAAGAGACGTTATAGAGAAGTCGAAAGAGTGCAGCTCGTAGTCACGCTGTACTACTACGTGTAGTAGCACCCGAAGAGTGGTCATCTTCAAGGTCCGAGTCAAGGTTTGAAAGAAGTCAACACCCTCGCACTGACTTAAGCCTCTAGCCACATAGCGCGCCTTAAACACAGGCGGCTCTTCAGGACGGCACTTCACCTTGACGAGCAACCGGCCATCGACTAAGTTCATCCCGGGTGGGGGAACTGCGTCGACGTAGGTGCCGGTGGATCTCCAAGCTGCCATCTCCTGCTCCATGGCAGCTATCCACTGAGAGGCCCAGGGTCCCGAGGTCGCCTCAGCATAGGTGCGAGGGGTTGGGATATCGAGGGCGTCTGGGTCACCCTCAGGAACTAGCAGCATGGAGCAGAGAAAAGGCGTAGCCTCGGACAGGAAAGCTAGCTCGTACTACTTTTCCTCTAGGACGTCACTGCCAAGGCAGGTGCACCCCTGACGAACGGAGTATAGGCAGGGTTAGAGACAAGTGCGGTGGTGCAGTCAAGGCGGTGGGTAGAGGAAAAGTCAACGACAGCAGCAAAAAGAGCGTCAACACTGGAAACGGGAACAGACTGGTCGATAACGAGGGAGGCAAGAACTTGTGGAATAAGAAGACTACCAGCACGAAGGAAGTCATTGAAAGGAGGCGGCGCGACAACAAGCGACGACGGAGGAGGCGACGGGAGAAGGGGAGGACAAGACGCATGAGAACGGAGCAATATAGGGTAAGAGCGAGGAACAGGAGAGACGAGACAAGCACGAGAGGGACGGCGAGACCAGACATGAGACGGAGGCGTCGAGTCAGGAGACAGAAGAGGAGACACAAAACGGGAACGAGGGGGAAAATGAGCTGGAGACGAGTACGGCGGAGGAAGCACATGGCCGTAGACATGCAGGGGAGGCGGCAGTGAAGGAAGCGCAGATAGGGGGTTGGGGGAACGAAGACTGAGAAGGCGAAGGGCCGACACTGGCGGCGACTGCTGCTGCTGCAGCTCCACGGCGACACCAGAACCTCCTGCTGTACTACGGCTACCTTCGAGAAGCTCCTCACCAGCACCTCCAGAACGAGAACCCTCTCCAATACCGGTGCCATCCCTAGGACCCGTGGACCCCCGCGGCGGTTGCTGCTGCGGCGGCGACGACTGCAACTGCGGCCGCGGCGGCGACTGTTGCGGCTGCGGCGGTGGCGACTACAGCTGCTGCTGCGGTGGTGACGACGGCTGCTGCGGTGACAGCGGAGGAGGAGACACAGGGGCAGAGACAGGTGGCGAGAACGGAGCTGCGGAGCCACCAGAGTCAGACGGCTCCTCGAGCGGGACAGCCGACAGGAGGGGAGTGACGTGAGGCACACCAGACGGGGCAGGATGGGGGGGGAGAGGAGTAGGGGCTACCGGGGGAGCGAAAACTAGAAACAGGGGTGGGGAATCTGCGAGACCTTTGTGAGGAAAGCGGTGATAGAAGGAGACAGACTCGTCAAAGGTGACGTCACGCGAGTGAAAGAAGCAGTGGGACGACGGGTGGTAAAAGTGCATGTTGGACGAGTCGAGGGGGAGCCAAGGAAGATACAGGGGACAGTATGGGCAGTGAGCTTGTCCGTGAATGAGAGGGAAGCGGAAGCTCCAGCCGGCGGAGGAGAGAGCGTGGAGTAAAGCGTCAGTCAAGCGTGAATGAGAGGGAAGCGGAAGCTGCAGCCGGCGGAGGAGAGAGCGTGGAGCCTAGACTAAACAAAGCAGAAGGTCCTATGCCTGACGCAGCAGGGGAGTCTGAACTACACACAGGTGGCACACCTAAACTAGACAACACAGGGTGATAGATTCCGGTCACACTTCAGGCATCAGCATACAGGGAATGCATAGCAGAACAAATGTGATCCATGTCTAACTCAAAAACAAGCACAGCACGGCGCACAAGACTAAACATTCGGGGAGGTCTGGCGCCGGGCCAGAGCGGCGGCAAAAGAGGTCGTCGAGGCGGCTGAAGCAGCTGGTGGTAGGGTGCGGACGACCACACACAGTGCCGCGGAAGGGGCCGGTCTGGAGCTAGTACTGTCAACCCCCAGCGCTGGAGCTGCTGCCCGACACTGAGCTGCGAGGGCCGCCACTGCGGCCACCACCACTAGAAGCACCAGGCCACCCCGGCAGAAGGCGCCCCACGAGTGCTGCTGCTGCTGTTGCTGCTGCGGCGGCTGCTGCTACTGCTGCTCTGGGGCACCAGCCCCGGTCCCCTCGTCGGAATCACTATTCCCGCCCCCACCTCCACCACCCCCACCACCCGCACCACCCTGACCTCCACCACACCCCCCCTTGGGGTGGCGACCCCTACGCTGATGCGATTACGATGAGGCCGCAGCGACGGTCTCAGCAGCAAGGGCTGTCTCGGCGACAGCGGCAGAAACGTCAGCGTAAGTGCACTGGGAGGGTGCACAGCCCTAAAATTTAGGGACTGCCGCAGTACCACTCGACTGAGCGATAGTATGCTGGAGAATCTCTATCTCGGACAGCGAGGCGGGCGTGGAGTAGCGATCAACTACTGCCTCTAAGAATGTCTGAGCGTTCACTACGGTGCTAAAGTGAGGATGCTTAGTCAGGGGGAGGGCATGACTAATGAAAGGCTGCGCTACGTCGCCGCGCGGATCCCAGACAGCGCGAGCATGCACACCACCGGTAAAGGCCTCATGCTCAGCAGTGGTGGGGGCGTCAGTGAGGGCAACATGCGAGAGGGGGCGTGGAAGCAAGCCATCGACATGAACAGCCAGGGAGTGGCCATTCTGGCCCTGACCTGTCAGGTGTCAGCAATGGTCGACAAGCCAGGCATCGAAGACGATCGTGTGCCCTTCCGCGTCCAGGTGCAGCACAGCATCCGCCATCGCACGTCCTCAGGGACACGGCGGCACGTCAAGACGGCGGCACGACGACGCGGCTCCA